AATCATTGCATACCTTGGTAGTGAACTTGAGCATGGGAACACCTATAAGTGATTTCTTGAGCACAGTAAGCAGAACGCTCAACAACGGACTTTATCGTGTCTATGTTATCCACTAAGTAATCAATTGTCACGTCCGTGGGAGGTGTGCTGCCATCAATTAAAATCTATGTATCAAGAAAAAAATGAAAAATAAATTAGAATCCGAATATTTCAGGCTCAGTTCTGTTGAGATTACTATTAGATTTTATAAGAACGCTGTATGCATTGAGCAATTAAATACAATTATATATAATAACATTATTTATTTATTGTATACAATTTTAATATTTTTTGTAGTCATCTGCATATGCTCTACAAAAAGAAAATGGTGTATGATTTGGCATCTTAGAGGGCGGCAGTCGTCGCGCTGCGCATGTGCGACATTTGTGTTGATAAACATTGATTTCCCCACAATTCAATGCGTTCTTCTAATGGAAATCATTAGTATGAGGTTTGCCCCGGTCGCGACTTGCGCTAAATACCGACGGTTACTCCTTCGATACCTTCCAATCACCTAAAAATACCTAATTAAAACTTGGTAACGTCTCAGTTTATTGATCTGCGCATTAGTCAAAGTCGCCGTCTTTATTTATATAAGACTCATATATCACGCGCATGCGTGGCGCGACGACTACCGTCCTTTAAAGTAAGTCAGTTGTGGTTAATCTGCACGTAGACGCATAGAGGTTTGAACTATTGTAGATTAAAAAAGCTTGGCTGTCATTTTTAGTTTTAACAACTTTCAGCGCATTGTGGTTAACGAAAAAAGATATATATATATATACCTCATCGTGATTTTCTCGTCCAATAACAGTTACACCATAGTTTGGATCAGTGTACATTTCGCAGTATACAGAAAAAGGTGGGACATTTTCCGCTGCAAAAAAAAATAATAAAACATAATTGAACTATTGAGGTCCTGCTCGCCTGATGAAAATGTAATTCTGAGTCTATAAAGCTTGTTGGCAAGTTAACCGTCGTCCCTCACTACGTATATGAACGGATATGTATAAAGTTTGTTTAATATTTTAGGGAAGTTTTGGTCAAACTGAAAATGATATGTTTTCTTTATTGGGCTTTCATTATTATGAGTCACTTAATAAGATATGTAACGGTAAATGAAGTGAAAATGGGTCACCATTTTTTCAAAATGTAATGAAAATGAACAAATATATACAAAATACTTTTGTACATTGGCGATTATTGTAATTGTTAATAAGATAAAATTTAATAAGATAAATAAATTTAATAAGATAAATGAAGTGAAAAATGAGTCACGTGACTATTTTTTCCAAAATGTAATGAAAATGGACAAATATATACAAAATACTTTTGTACTATGGCGATTATTTTTTTTTCATCGCTCAACATATTGCTTGAAATGAGTAAGTCATATATCATTATAGATAAGAATATTAATAAACTTTTGACAATTAATATAGCGACATTTCACTGTCTGGAGTACAAGGTCTCGCTGATATCGTGCTTTAATATGCCAAGTCGACTCGGAATTCGGTTCGAGCTGAGCTTTCTTAAATTGCCACCCAAGCAATTCAACTTTGCTTACCTAGACTAAATACAGACAATTTGCTGTGCCCACCGCATATCTGCACAGGATCGCCGGGGCATTTAGAATGGCAATCTTTCTCGTCCGCTTTGCCATGTTTATCGTAAGTCGTGCCACAGTAGCACGCTGAATGCATTACGCCGGCGTGTGTGGCGCCCTCGACGTCAAAACAGAGAGTCAGGCATCTTCTCAACAGTCATCTCGGGGTTGCCCGTGAACGACGCAAGGTCGAGCGCTCTGTCCTGATTCGAGTCAATGTAACAGCCCATGGATCTACTCGCTGAAGAAAAAAAAAAAAAATTGAATGATTATGATAATTCTTTGTTATTTATTTTTCCCAACACACAACCTATCATAATGTTGCACATAAACTTAAAGCGGAAGGGCGTCACCTGCGCACGCGCGGGAATTGAGTGCCAAGCGACGATGATAACAACGCATGCTAAAACACAAAGGCTCATGGGTAGACGCGTGTTTGTGAACAATGACACGCTATGGCCATCTGGAGCATGCGCAGTTGACGACTTTCCGCATTAACGATATTACATCATGGAGGAATTTCAAAAAACAGAATGGTGGAATGCCGTAATCGGTCACTGTTACACGCATATTATGAACAACAAACGATTTTTTTTTACTATAAATAAGCTTCAATCTTTTTTTTTTACAATTTTACTCATTAGTTAAAGGGCAGTGGTCGTCAAACAGCGCGTGTTCGAACACGCGTTGTACACTTCGCTATCATGATGAATATCGAACACGACACGGCACGCTGATCACCGCCCTTTAAGGTAAAATCTGCAAAAATGTGTTTTCTCTTCTAATACCATTATAGCAATTATTAGTAAGTTCTTTTTTCAGTATCTTAAGCATGTGCGCATGCGTACCTGGATCCCCTGAACCGTCTGGATCTATCAAGTATGTGCCGTTGTAGTGTGCCCCATGTTCACGATGTTTTTGGCATGATGGTTGAATACCTGACAAAAAATATGTAAATATTTGTGAATATTTGTCATGTATCAGTGGATTAGTACTGTAAAATACTTTATTTTCGCTGGAATTAATTTACGCTGAAAAGGCTTTTTGAGGTGTTTTGTATGGAATTTAGTTTCACTGATTTTTGACGAGTTAAATGTAAAAATATAGGGAAAAAGGTATATTCGCTGGATTTTATTTTCACTGAATCATTTCTTCAGCGAAAGTAACGAAAATTAATTTCAAGCGAAAATAAAGTATTTCATAGTATGCAAATATCATTTGCCATATATGGGTAAGTATGCAAATATCATTTGCCATATATGAAGAGGCGTTGAAACACTAAAAGTATTTGTCTTACTTTAGTTAGAAAATTAAATTTTGACAATACATACTTATTTACTACTCAACACATAGTAAAAACACAAATAACAGTCACATTTAGCGATTTAATTTGACATTTTGAACTGACTGTCTCCAAACAGTTCCATTTGGAAAAAAAGTATAGTATTCAATTCGGTAGAAAACGTATTAACATAAAAGACGGCGATGTCAGCATTGCCTTTAATTTCATTTCAGTGGGTGCGGCACAGGGGTGGGAAGAGTGGATGGTCGCCCCCCAAAAAATGTGGGGGGGGGCGTCGCCTCTACAAAA